GCGCTGGCTCTTCAGGGGGAGCGCAGCCTCCTTCCGGTCCTCACAGAGTCCCCGCACACTGTGAGTCTGGATGTTATTCTGACTTTTTTCCCGTTCTATCATATAATAAATAAATGTAGTAGTACATGTTGATTTGAAATTCTTACATATGCTTATAGCACCTGAACCTTGACAACGTAGAGGTCGAGGTGGGGCAAAAGGTTATGAAATCGCCCAAAAGGTCCGTCAAGACGGAAGAATCACAGTAGAATTTGATAAGACGGAAGGTACTTGGAAGGCGCTTAGTAAATATGGTGCCTGGTTTGATAGTGCAGTTGGTATTCATACCGGGGACATATGCGAGCCCTTCCACGATGCTTGGAAGGACATTAGCGACATGGACAAGAGGACAATTCAGAACCGGATGCTGTTATTTTTTTTATGCAATAATTTGTATAGTTTATACTAAAGTTAACAATACGTTTTAATGATGTGAAACTGTTTTGCAAGGATTGGTTTAACATGGACTACAACTATAAGAACGGTATTCTGAGGTCCGTTGTTGACAGGGAGGCAACAAAGTGCTACAAGGACTGGAAAAGTTTCCTGCACCGCCACTTCAAATGCTATGGTAGAGAAAGTCTCCCGAGTAACATGAGGAATCAACTTCATTAGGATCGTTGTTGCGATAGGTTCTCCGGCGACAAATTTCAAGTAATTATAGATTTGTTAGAACTTGATGATTTTTTATACATAATTTCAAGTAACTATAACTTTTTATAGTTAATCATAAACAAAAAATATCATAGACAAATAAAACTAATCGTAGCAACTAAAAGTATCCAAGCTTACATGGTCGGGTATCATACTCTCAGCATCGCAATAAGAAGGTTAGTACTTATTTTTTGACTTCATTATCGTATTTATATGTTTGTGATGATTGTTCTAGGTGGCATATCTTGCAGTGCCGAAATCTTTTAAAATTATTTTTTTTACAGGTTTTGATTTTTGGATCATATGAAAAATAAGTCGTCATGCTACTGAAATTTAGTTAGAATTTAAGAATTTTAACAAATCTAATTTATTTGACAGGCCAGTATGGAGACCCAAGAGCCGATGTCTGCTATAGACAATTGGGCGGACATGCATCATCGCGGGGCCTTTTGGGTTAATCCCCAAGTGGAACAGACTTTCGTAAGTATTTTACTTTTCATATTAAATTTTTTTAGACTAAAATAGTGGTTTTATAACACGTAAAAACAATTATAATGTCTTATTATGTAGAACACCCTAGAGAAGGAGCGACAAACGCAGAGAACACAGTCTACTTAAAGCCCGACTAGACCCGCCTTTGACGAGCATGGGGTTTTGGAGCAAGTTCTTGGCATGCATAGAGGACATAAGATAGGAGTGGGTTCGACGCTCTCCCAAAAGCATTACTCCAGGGCTTCTCCTTCATCTGCTGGTTCATACTCGGACGCAACATCATTGGCTCAACCTGACCTACGTGTGAGTCGTTATTTAAAGAAATCGTACCGGGAACAAATTAAGATTTATGAGAATCAGGTGAAGGTGTTAGAGTTGGTGGCTAAATTACAGCCCAACATCCAATTACCTACGATTGATTGTCCAGAACCAGTTGACCTAAACACCTCTTCTACCTCCTTCAGATGATGACAGTCCTGATGATGATTCAGCTATTGGCGATGCTACAAACTTAGACGATTAGTTCCGTTATATGTACTATTTTATTTTTCACTTTATTTAGACTTTTATATTTTTTTGAACATTATATATGCACTTCATGCAGTATTTATAATATATTTTATAAATTTATTTAGATTCATTATTTTTAATATTAATTTATATTTCACTTTTAATGTATCTTAATAAATTATATTCAGTATGTAACATAATAATGTTTAATTAAAATTATTAAAAATTAATTAATTGCCATTTTTAAAAAATTATAAAAAATTTAATTTTGGTTTTTTGCGACGACTTTTTTAGACTTGTCGTCGCAAAAAAATAAGATTATTTGCGACAACAATTTCAAATGTCGTCGCAAAAAATGAGCATATCATGCGAATTTTGCAACGGCGTATTAGCGACGTCTGTCGTCGCAAATACAGTTGCGACGACACTTTGTCGTCGCAAAAAAACGTTTTGCGACGACAAATCTGCGATGACAATTAGTTGCGACGACATGCGGATTTTTACGACAACAAAAAGTCGTCGCAAAAACCCCTTTTCTTGTAGTGTTTGACATGAATTTGAATGTATATTTTTTAGAAGATTCAAGATAATGGGTTACTTTTTAAATATAACCACTTTTATGGTAAGTTTCAGAATTTAGAGCCTCACTTCAACATTTCTACCTGGCCAACAGATTGTGCGGCGCTGAGCTAGTGGTGGTCGAAGTGAAATTGAGCCCATTGAGTCGAATTGAGTCAAGTCCTTTAATGAAATGGCCTTGAATTTCAACTATAGAATGAAGGGACGACGACAAGATGACATCAATAATCTCTGTTTTTTATAGAAGGAAAAACAACTTTATAAATTTGTAGTTTCTAAGAAAGTATTACTATAAATATAGGTGTTAGTGGTCGGATGGAATGTGCATTATCTTCTCTTAAAATTTGATTAATTATGTCTTTACATACAGTCACTCTAAAATTCCTCACTACAAATAGTGTATTATTCAGAATAGCAGTTTTCTGACCAATTGATGTGTCCTCAGGCTTGTGCTTTTAGGGATTCATCTGAGAAGTTTAAGAAAGCGGGAGCAGAGGTCACTGGCATTAGTGGTGATGACGTATCATCGCACAAGGAAACCAAAAAATGCCTATGTTTAAACAAGTTGATTTTCTTTATGCTGTTACTGCTGTATTATATATGTAATATTAATCTTGTAGGAATACTATACGGATGTTCCAACTTCTAAAAAATGTACAAATACTATTCCTGACCCTTACAACTATACATCAAATGGTTTGAATTTTTAAACAATATATGTAACTCTGGATTTAGCTATTACAACTGTAATGGACAACCTGAAAATTCCAATAAAATGGCATGGAGTTGGTATGAATATAACTTGAGTACGGAGTTCATGTTGCTAGAAGATTTTTATTTGCTATTTCCTAACCTTACAACTAAAAATATGATTGATAAGTACAGGAGTTTTTGTTAGCCAAACCTGTCACAATTGGCCAAAAATGCTTGAATTCTGATGACAAAGCTAAATCCTATGTATGAAGGCGTTCGCGAAGAAATAGACTTCCATTCACATTGCTGGCCGACGAAAGCAACAAGGTGAGGAACGAGTGGGGAGTGGCAGGGGATCTGTTCGGAGCATTGCCTAGGAGAGAGACTTATGTTGTTGACAAGAATGGAGTTGTCCAACTCATCTACAACAACCAGTTCCAACCCGAAAGGCACATTGATGAGACCCTCAAAATACTCAAAGGCATTTGAATTTTGATTCCCTCTTGTATCTTTCAGATGTGTACATTATTATTTTCTGTCTTTGTTTTAGACAAGAACTTTAACTCTGTATGATTGAAATCCACTTATCAAAGTTTAAAGCTAGAGCTGTTAATGTTGAATCTTGGAATTTCTTAAGTAAAGAACAGGCAATCCTTTTTGTCTCTCCTCCGAAGTCATCTGTTTGGCCGTATATGTTAGGTTTTTGTTAATTGGCTGCGTTGGCAAAACAGTTTTTGGTTGTACAGATTCAAAAACTAGGTTCTAAAAGACATTATCTAGATAGTTGTTTTTAGAAAAGAAGAAAGTGTTGTCGTTTGAATTTGAGATCAGATTTTGTGTAGAAGAATCAGATTTGTTGACTTGAAGATCAGCTTGTGGTAAATCGGATAAGGCTAAGCTAATATGGATCGTGAGGTCATCCTTGATCAGCTGTTGGTTTATCTCCTGAGGAGATTTGATTCATTGAATTTTAAAAAAAGTGAATCCGTGAGTTTTGGTAGGAAAAACAAAAAAGGTGAGATGCTGTAGATAATGCTGAGGATGATTTTTTGGTAACTAACACAGGTTCAAAAGTTGAAGATACGTGGAGTGGTTTTATATGAAAAGAGGCTCTGCAGAAAAAGAAGGGGTGTTGACCACAGAAAAGTCTAGTGACAGAGAGACATTAATTAAGGAGAACAATCTGTGGTTTTGTGTTTGATGTTGAAAGTTTGATTAACTTAAGGGAGTTCAGCAGTGAAAGGTGAAGACGTGTGGTACACGCTAAACAGTGTCATTGTGGGAGTTCATCACAGCGGCGTCATAGTCTAGGAGGGAGTCCTTGAGTGATTAAGTCCGTCAGGGTTGTAATTCTTAAAACATAGTGAAACTATTTACTGTTTGGGCGTGGCCTCGCAGAGTCGGTGTGCGCACCGAACTACGATACCATATTGTGTGTTCATTTATTTTCTGCACTATTGGTTTTCCTGCGTTGTTTAATTTAATCGGTAGAGTAAACTGAGTAATTAGTGTCTCAGACAGTGTTCCAACATCATCTGGGACATCAGGCGTAACATTAAGATCTAACAGTATACATGTCGTTTCTTTCTAGTTTCAACTGGTGTAGGTGTCATTTTATAACACGGTTGCTCTTTTAGTCGTTTTAGGTGGTCCAACATGTCTATGTTAATTCCTTTTGCCGACCATGAGGTCATGTTGAATTTCATGCAGCCGAACTATGTCAATTCTCCAATGTTTTTAGTTGTCGGGTGATGTAAAGGGTATAATAAATCCGAGTCTTACGTCATTTAAACATATAAATAAATGCTAACTTATATGAACATCGGTCAATCGACTTAATAGATTGGTCTTTTAAGATGAAAACTCAAATTCATAGAAGTTCAATTTCTAAAGAAGAATCAATATTATTGAAGAATATGAATAAGTTACACATGCATAAAGCATCATGCTATATGTTGGATACACTATATATGCATTGAATTTTCCCCTACAATTTATTTGCTTTTTTCTTTTATTTTTATTTTTCACTCAAATAGTACATAAATAGCTAGAGACGATTATAGAGGACACATCTAATCAAGAACTAGTTCAGATAGTCTCGACTACCATAGGGGCTAAATGCCTCTGAAAACCAGCTGTTCTTCCTCCAAGAAGTCCATCCCATTTCCTCACATATTTCATCACTGTGGTTGATACTATAAGTTGAAATGCAGTGCCTCTTGTAGAACCTGGTGGTTCTCTTCATGACTTCCATCTCCTTCAGTGTTCTCTCGAGCATTTCCGTCACACCCGGAAGCTTGAATTTGTCGTCCACTAGCCGTGCCAGCCATATCGAACGCAATTCAGACGAATGTAGGTTCGCCACACTCTCAACATAGCCCACAAATCCCATGTTTGGGATCAAAGGATGGATAGTACCCCTGATCACCAACAAAGAGATTTCAACATAAACACAATATTTGAGACTAATTCTTTAATGAGGTTCTTTTATAATATCAAAAATTTTGTTCTTTCTACCTGTATAGCGGCATGAGACCAGATGGATACTCCAACAAACTGCGAAAGGGCTCTGGCATGATGGCTTTGAGCTTTTTCTTACCATCATAACCAGTGGCGAGGACGACAACATCAGCTTCGATCTTTTCTTTGTCGTCGAACTCGATTCCTTTTTCCCAGAACCACCATTTTGATGATCTCTTGAACACAATCTTCCCCTTGTCAGCCTCAGAGAAGAAGTTCTCCGGCATGATAGCCATTTGGCAAGACGCGTAGTCCTCGACAAAAGGGTGGTCCGGTTTTAGTCCATACTTCTCCAAAGGAAGCTTGTGCAGCAAATAGGATTCTATGAACTTTGAAACTACTAGCCTCTATGATGAATATAAAAAAAAAAGAACAATCTTTTATTATTAGCATATGGGAAATTATGTAGTATTAATTAGAATATGTATAAATATGGAATTGATGATGAGAAAATTGTTGTTGGTTTAATTACCATTGGGGAGAAAAGTGAGCAAAGAAGGGATCTGAGGAAGCTTTGGTTTGGTCTTTCATGGAGGAACTGAGAAGATCTTGTGGAGTAGAAGAGGAAAAATGGCAAACCCCAAACCCAGTAATGTGGAACTGTCCAGTGCAGAGTCCTTACTACCATGGTGCATGCTTTACCTTCTGGTCCTTTTGAGTACAAAATATTCCATCACAAAAATCCACAAAAAATATTTTAAGTCAGTTTCAAAAGCAAATTAATATTTATGTACCTGATCTCTTGAAATCCAATATTAGTTAAAAAAAAAAAAAAAAAAATATTTTAAGTCAGTTTCAAAAGCAAATTAATATTTATGTACCTGATCTCTTGAAATCCAATATTAGTTAAAAAAAAACAAATAACAAATAAACAAACTATTGATGATGACAATATTCTTGAGTCTTTTTTTATTTTATTTTGAGAAACAATATTATTGACTTTAGAAATTAAAGTCATCTAATTGTGCAGAAATAATTAAAGTCACATATATATAATGATAATTGTGCAGCCATCTAATTAGTATCATCACGGCCAACTTCAAGAAATTAAAGTTAAAAAATAAAAAGGGAGTGAGCGAAATAATTATGAAAGTGCTTATGTGCCAATGTTATGCATGGCTTATTCTCAGGTAAGTACTAGAGAAGACTTTATTTTCAAATTCACAAACAAAAAATAACACAACCGAAAAGGAAAAAGAGAAAGAAGAGGATTTTTTTTTTCCCAATCATATATGTCAGCATTATTTTTTAAAGAGGATATTAGTGCTGCTTACATAATTTGCTCACATTAATCGACTCTTGACTCGAAAATTTGATAAACATGGAAAAAGAGAATTTTGAAGACTTTTCCAAAAGTGTCGAACCGTGGATCAAATTATAAGTGGTCATTTTCTGAGAATTAACTTGGAAATCAAGAATGATAAAACTTTTTATTTTTGGACCTTCTAGTCTAGCTATATATAAGAATTCACTCTGTGCCCTTTTATTATTCTTCAATTTTATGATTCTTTAATAATATCATGTCACGTTAATTAAAATGTCGTTCCTTTAATAATATTATATCACATTAATTAAAATGTCGTGTCCTATTAATTTAGGGGACATATGAACTCAATGTCTATGTATGTGGCAAAATTAGAACTTTTGTTTGCCTCTGTGAAGTCAAATATGATGCATGCATGGTTGTGGAAATATTCTAGTTTCAATACTTTGATGTGCTTTGGAAAAATAGAATCGTTGAAAACGTGTGTAGTCACGATGTTAGTCATGTATTCTTTGTTTGAACACAGACCACAAACGCCCGAGCCTTTTGAAAATTATCACTCCTGATCCTTGCCATGTCGCAGCCCTAGATGTCTCCCTAATTGCCACGTGGGGCTTTTTTTTCCCACGGCATGTTAGTTTGTGCTTAAGAGCCATGCAACATGACTGCGTTGTTTATGTGACGTCTGAGACCAATTAAATAAACCATGCACACAATTTCCAGCCTAATATAGCGTACGTGTAAAATATATAAGTACTAACCAGCTGCGTCAGGACGTTAATCATATTTCTAATGTATCTTTTGATTTTTTTATTTTTTATTTTTCTTTCGTGTAGTAAATCTGAATGAAATTAGTCTAAACTCATGTTTAGAAGCTGATAATAATGCATGGAAAACCTACAAGTTTCACTGTATAATTCCAAGAATTAATATAAGCTATAGAGAGCAATGTCTACCTATTAGTCAAGTCAAGTGATGTAAGCAATATAAAAATTTTTTTGAAAATTCTGATCAGAAACTATCGCAGAACAAACATATATAATTGGTTAATTAAATTGCTCTATGATCCGTACGTACTTGGCTTGCATTAAATTAAAAACACACACACGCACACAAGGGAGAGAAACCAATTTTTCCATCCAAATTATTTCTCAAAACTCATATGATGAAGCTATGCACGTATATAAATATATATATATATATATATAAATACCTTGATTTGCCTCAGCACACTCCAAAGCTAAATCGATAGCAGATTTCTTGTAGCCAATAACGGCGACCTTCTTATCCTTGAGCAGATTAGTAGAAGCTTCCTTGTCAAGTTTGCAGTAATCAAGAGAATGCAAAACTTTTCCTTCAAATATCTCTGGGCCCTTGTTCTTTGGAAATACTGGAATTATAGGTATGTCTCCATATTTTCCAATGCAAACCACAACAAACTCGAAGGCATACAACTGTATGTATATAAAATTATATTCCAAAAAATTATACCAGACAAATGTTAGATCAGATCAGTCATGCTAATATTATATTTATGTATGTATTCATATGTATATAATTTTAAGGAACATGTACACTTATATTGGAACTTGGAAAGGACACACAAAGACATATATAACTATATTAGTGGAAAATATATACACATTAAAATGTGCATGTGCTCACACGGGGTTTATGTAAGTACTGAGTAATACATATATCATTTGGTCTTTGCATAATGAAAAGCTTTTTGTTAATAATGAGACATCTAAACAACTACTGATGGACCAATGGATCAATTCTTCAATGATAAATCTTGAAAATACTAATTAATGTAAATAAAACTGATTTTTTTTTATTTTTTGTAACATTATTTTTTAGTGAATTGAGAGAGAGGACAAATATGATTAAGGAAACATCCGAATTAGGTTGACACCTTACTATAGACAATTCATGCTCTGTCAAGTCCTCCACTCTAATTTATTAAAAAGAGAAACAAGCAAAAATGAGATAAAAATGTTCTAAAAGTCTCAAAAGTGCAAAGAAAAAGAAACAGACTCTGAAAAATGCTCGCAAAGAAAACTGGGAAAAAACCTACATAGACAAAGAAAAACAACCCTCAAGCATATATGAGCACCAAAGAAGATTAAGGAAGAAAGATTTAGCCCTAAAGGAAAATCTAAAAGGGTGCTGCTATTAAAAACTTATCCGGTAAAATCCAAAAAAAAAAAAAAAAAAAGTGCATAATCATTGTTTTCTGAAGAGCTGACAATTACGAGCGCGTGAAAAGAACAAAAATGATGAGAAGAACAAATAACAAGGACAAATTCTAGACAATTAAACCACCAGCTGGAAGAAGCCAAATAAACTGCTTTTTAAGCAAGTTTATCAGCTACATGATTACTTTCTCGGAAAATATATATACGAGACTATCCATATTACCAATGAAACTGAGGGCAATTATTCATAAAATTTTAACTTGGTGCAATATCATTACCATGTAAATGATAATATGAAATCATACCATGATCTGATCCTGGTGATCTAGATATGTGTGTGTGTGTGTGTGTGTGTGTGTCACACTCAAGTGTATTTACGTATGTCCGTTTGTATATACACATGTATAAATACATCTCTATAGTTAATAGTATCTAATTATCGAAACGATGCAGCAAGATACCTTCCACATGCGTATGAAAATGATACTTATAAACCTAGCTAGAAAAAGTTTAACTAGCTTCTTTGTGAACTTTTTTGCTTTAGCTTCTTGAAACCCTAATGATCATCTTTATAGAAGCTCATATTATAGTTGATGAGGATTGAGGAAAAAGAGAACAATGACCTGAATGGTCTCTGAACCGTTGGTCTGGACAGCAACTTCCCAGACGGGCTGACCCGGCAAGAGGCTGCTGTATTCACCGGGCAATCTGCCGTCGATTAACCGGAGACCCACCACCTTTGAATTGAACCTCACGCACTTGAGCACGTCAAAGTGCTCGGCGTAAGAATGGAGATAGTCCAATATCTCAAGGTGAGAAGGGAAGCTAGCGCTGTCCCTGTCGGGCCAAGGGAAATCGGAGAACTCGTAATCGCAGCGAGGCGATTGGAGCTTGGTGGAGCTGTAGGAGCAATGGCTCCAAACCCCTCCAATGGTGTCACTTGCCTCAAAAACTACAGGGTTATGGTGGGCGAGCTGTTTGGCAGCGGCGATACCGCTAACCCCAGCTCCGATTATGGCGATTTTGGAGATTACCGGAGCCATATCGGAATCGATGATTATGAGGAGAGGAGGATTTTGGCTTGGGAATCAGGAAGATAATGTGTGATATTTCTTAGGTACTTTTGTGGTTGTGGACTTGTTAAAGCATGGCGAAAGGTAGAGTATTTATAGACTCATGCATGAGTTTGGTCAAGATGGAGCCACGTGAAATAGACTTTGATATAGAGACTATGAGAGATTTGGAATTTTTATTTTTTTTGAAGAAAGACCCAAGTGATGACCATTTCTTGATCTATTCTATATGATGATCAATGTTTATTATAGCTATATACAATGTGAAATTGGCTAGTTATGGAGGGGAAATTTCCTACACTTGGGGGGATTTTCTTTCCATTATGGCCAGTGGCATGGTTGAATTTCTCTGTGCCTTCAACGTTCAAACCGGCTCGATTAGTTGAGCATTAATTCAGAATCAAGGAAACTTAATTTAATATATAGATTATTGCTATTGTATAAACAATATAACAACAACACAATTATAAGAGGGGGGAAAATAACAATTATATTGCTATATTTAAGTTAGGAAATGGGAGGTAACCAAGAAAAAAGAAAGAAAGTATGACATAATTTTACCTAAAATTTACTATACATTTCTATACGATCAAAATTTCACAATATACGTGCATACATGTGAACATATATAATGTCGTTTTATTTGAACTTTAAGAATTGAAATAATTTATAAAAGCTAAACAAACGAAAGTAGTAGAATATAATTAAAAATAAAAGCTAAGGGGGTAAGTGAAAATGTTAAAACATTATATATAGAAAAATTTTAGAGAGGTATACTAAGAAAAAAAGGGAAGAAAGTTAGAAATTAAATTTCTTAGAAGATACAATGAAGCTACTTGAGCCTAGCTCATACCGTTTTGAAGCTATCTAGTTAATTATTGTATCACTTTAGTGTGTATACTTGGTTTAAATTTTCTACAAAAATGATATGATTATTTGATTTTAGTCACATCTACTATTTGTATGTATTTGTTTAGCCGGCATAATAGGCACCAACTTTTAATTTGTTTTGTTAAAAATATATGTTATACGAGGGTTTTTTTTTTTACACTATATATAGTCTCTACAAGTACGATTTTGTTCCTAAATTTCTTTTAGGCAGAGGGCAGCTTCTTTTTTATTTTTATTATTGTCGTTGTTGTTGTTGTTATATTCATTATTAATGTTATTATTTTATCGCAATTTTGCTCCCTAGCTCTAAAAACAACGGTGTGAAAATTTGAAAGTTGGTGGAAATAACCACACTCTCATCACGTGATAACTTGATGTTTAAAAAAAAAATCACTGGTTCTCTAAAAATTTTAAGTACTTATCACAATATTGGACAAAATATAATTGTAGGACATGGGACAAAATATAATTACTAATTAGTAGTACTATTTAGATATCAACCGATTCTGAATTTAAATTCGAAAAGTGGGAATTCATAAGTGTAGGACACATACTCTAGAGAAACCTGAAATTGGATGGAAATTAAGGAAACATCCAATAAATAACAAAAAGAGGTTTGAATGAAACTATGTACACACTGGTTTTATTTTGTGTTATATCATTCATTAATTAATGCACTTATTTAATTATTGTTAGTTATTGCTAGTCATTAAAAGAACCCCTTGGTGTGACTTAACTTCAAACATGGAACAAAGAATCTTGAAATTGAAGAGTACACGTATCTTGAACATTTCAGTCTTTTTACCAAAACCAAGTACTAGCCGTTTGATTCAAGGTTTTGAGGTGGTTGCTGGTATTATATAAATTAATGTGGAGTCGAAACTTATTTATTGATTCAAATTAAGCTCTTATTTTCAATTACTTTTTTATGGTGTGTATATGTGTTTGTTTATTGTTTAATTTTCTACGTGTAGAACAAGCTGCAAATAATAATAATAATAATAATAATAATAATAATAATAATAATAATAATAAAATAGTTTTAGTTTTTCTGTGTAGATTAACGCCTGTGTTTACATTTTTGCATTTATAAAGAGTACATTGATATTATGTTTTCAGAAGATTAGTGACTTACCCTTCTTTACCACAACAAACTTCGTGAAAAAATCAAATTAATTCAAACAGACCGCAAACTTGTTCTGACTCAACTAGTCAGTATTACATACCGGTTTTCTTTGGTAGTTTCAAGATTCAAACCCAAATAATGAAATAATTATTGGTAATCCGATTTTAAATTGAAATTTACTACTTTAGTGTAGGCCTAATTATAATTTATAATATTTGTTATAGAATTGTACTACTCAACAGAGTCTTAATTAGGTGCTAATATATGTGGAAGATTCCAAGAGTTTTACACGATATATATATATATATATATATATATATATATATATATTAGGCATGTAACGAACTCAAGCTCTTCGTGCAATTACTAGGAAGCTTAACTTATTGACTAGTACGCAGCCGATGGATGCACGAGTACTGAACGGAAACTATCAATTGAGCAAATAAAAAAATAATTAAAACAATAGAGACAAAAAAAAAAAAAAAAAAAGATTTATTGTACTTTGAACTTATGCGTATTTGGATCCCGAATTTATGCATGTATGCAATTTACCTTTAAAAAAAAACTCGGGTCTCATTTGTCCGTACAAAATTATGATACAAGAATAATTACCGTAATGATCTTGATTTTTTTGGCTGAAATAATAATACCATATATTGACTTGGATATGTAAAAGTTAACCTGTTATTGTTTGGTGCGAGTCCAATGTTGATTGGGATTTAGTGGTGGTGCGATGAACCATACGGTGGCTGCAGGCAGCCACATTCAAATTTCTGTATGTACATTATTATTACGCATCATGGAGTCGCACCTGTCACTTAGAAATGTGTGTGTAGAATATATATATATATATATATGTATATGACTTTTCCAACATTATACAATTCTTGATGTAAAACTTGTCCTTCTGTCACTCAATAAATCTTCTAATAAAGTCAAGATTTGGAATTTGTAACTCATCTTTAGAATGTCTCACTCATGATTAAGCTATATGCACGTTTGTACGGAGCAATAACTTCACGATATCTTGAATAATAAGAATTGTCACATTTTGATCCTCAAATTTTACAATATATACAACTTAATCTTTGAATTTCGTTTCATTCTTTAATTTCTCGAATGAGAATTTTACAATAAGAATTGTTAATCATCTAACGTGTCTTTTTAAATTCTTATAGTGTCTCACATACGTATTAGATCATATCTCTTAAATATTTAATGACTCTGAATACGACGATATTTTTGAAATTGTCGTTATATTTTTTGACGACCATATCCCCTATTTGTTTTTGGGCATGCACATGATCGTGTGTGTATATGTATTAAAAATCTATATGCAACTTTTTAAACTGTATCTCAGCTGGCTATACATACATATATATATATATATATATATATATTTATAGCAGGCCAACATTATGCGAGACCTATTACCAGTGTGATTTCTCGATAAGGTGCAACAAAGGAAGATCTAAGTGAGGTTGAGTGCTTGCTTTCTTCCATCGACCGGTTAGACGTCGGCTATGTTGAGCCTTTGAACGAACTACTCATTGCTGTCTTGTCCCAACCCAAGGAGGGGCATTTGGTTCGTGTCTCCTTTGAACGAACTACTCATTGTTGTTACGTTACACTACCATTTTTCCAATATCATTGAATAGCATGGCCTGGGGCTAAGGTAACTCTCAGTCCCATGAAGCTAGTCTTTATTCCAACTAATGACAAAGACTTCCATCCCAGCCTGTCGTCCGCACACCAAAAGTCAGGATAGGGCACACCAAAAGCCTCGTATGCAGATCCTAGTGCCACCATCCATGTCTGCTGAATTTGATGCATTAATTCGTGAACTTTTTGAATTGAAATCTGAAATTGCGTGGAATTCTTGAATTGCATTAATAATCCAGAACTTTCTAAAATCCTCTAAAATTTTGAGATGCTCTGGAAGGTCAAAAAGGCAAAATCAATTAGTGCAAAAAGTCCCCATTCTAAGCAGCCCATTAATTTGGATGAATTCATTCGTGACCTTGTCGGTGTCTCTTTTAAATAATATAATTATTTGATTAAAATTAATACAATAGATAAAAATTCATGTTTATACATTTTACGAAACATTTCTCTTTTTTACCATTCTTTTTTAAAATTTTCATAACATCTTGGCCCTTCTTAGAAGAAAATTATTTTATAATATGATAATTTCTACGGTGGAATTCAAAAAAAAAAAAAAAAACTCGTTATTGGAACCTGTATTTGTAACCGTTAAATTAATTTTTAACTGTTAAATTTATACATATACGTATTAAAACTTTACAGCGCCATATTGAACTGTTGCAATTGTAGATCTGACCCTTAAATATTAATCCAACAGTAAAAAAAAATACTCCACCAATGAGTTTTGTTTTTTTTCTTTTTGCCTTATTACGCATGTGTTTTCAAAACACCTTATACTTGGGTCAACTTCTACAATTGTTCAACATTACAACCCACCCATAAAGTTGGGCCTAAACATCATGTTTCATAGGTATGCTTGATCAGTTGGTCCTAATGAACAATTAAAGACATAGTCATCAGAACTCAGAAAGTATGAGAGCGCAGCCCATCATATTCCTTAAATAATGAAAAAAAGATCAAAATAATGAATCAAAATAGGAAAGTTTTCAAAATAAAATCCTAATATAAAATAATCTGATTTTGAATATAGATGTCAAATAAAATTTGGAATCGCAACTAATAAAACTTGCCCATTTTAAAACCTAAAAAAGATATGAAAAAAAATTCAAAATTTATGCAAAATTAGATTCAAAAAATCACAAAGATTGAAAATAACTTGTTTTAAAAAGATATCTCAAAATAAATACGAAAATCACCATTACCATAATGACAACGTAATTATGATAATTATTTTTAAATTTAAGTATACTTGATAATTGTGAAATAAGAGAATAGGCATTACCATAAT